ACAATCTGGCTCTAGCCTCTTCCTCCAGCATAACTGCCTACCACTCACACAGTATACCCACCATACTAGACTACTTCCATGTCTCCAACATGCCAGGCCCCGAAGTCATCCCCACTGCCTGTACTCTCCTCTCCCCATGTCTACCTGCCATAATCCTTCACATCTTTCAAGAGCTGCCCTACATATAACTATCTCTAGAAGCTTCCCTGACAATCCCTCCCATTCACCCTGGACACGGTCAGCACTGCTGGCTGTGTGCTCCCACAGCTTTTTAATTATACTTATCCTACCACATCACAATTTATGGTTATACATGTCAGCTCCTTTTGCAAACAATAAGTTCCCTAAGGACAGGAACCGTATGTTGTTCATCTGAATTCCTAGCTATCATCTTGTATACGATAGACACTTAATAATTACCAACTGACTTAACAAATGGCTGAACGAAGAATGAATTAGCAACCCTACAGAATGATTTATCCTATTGGGTGCTAGCAAGACATTAAATATGTGTTCCCAATCAACTGCAAACAAGGACATTTAAGCGCTGTATTTCCAATAAATAGCCTGAGTTGCCTAGTTAACCTATGGGTTAATTGTTCCATCCTAACCATTTGAACCTATCTCTCTTTCTTATTTTTCTCCACATCTCACTCTTGCAATTGCCTTTCTTCTGGCCTTTCTGAATCCTTCTGCCATGTCTCAGGCTGGCTTACACCACCCCCTATTTTTTCTCCAGCAAAAGCAGTCACTGACCTTTGACTGATGACATCAATCAGGGCTGGTATGTATAGAGTCAGAGTACGCTACCACCACCTCCTTGGTGTGATGCCAGGGCACTGAGATGCCCACTGCCCCTAACATAGTCCTCTCTGCACCAAACACCTTGCTTCCCTTGGTTGAAGGCACTGGCTTTTCTGTATTTGAAAGCTAATTCTTTAATCTTTGGAAACCATCAGAAACTGGAAGTTCTCCCAGCAGAAAGTCTGCACGGTGTGGGAGACAGGCACGTGACAGACTTCTGACACCTTTCGCTGAAATGCCCTCATCTGTACTACACACCGGATGACAAGAACTACTTGGGCTGTGTGTTAGGATGCCACAAACATGCTTAGACTCATCTTTCAATAGGCTGACCATTGAGAAAAGCCAAGAGGCTCAAAATTTCCATCCACACAGGCTGAAGTTATTAAAGGTGAAGTACTCTTTAAAGTGGAATGCATGTTAGATCCCTTAAAGGAGAAAGGAGAAGCTACCAGGCAACAGAGGGATGTGGGATGGGGAAGGGCATGGGAAGAGGAACCAGAAGGGGGAAAGAATTGGGAAACTTGGAAAACACTTAAAGAACCGTCATGTTTTGAGAGTACTGGCCCTGTGTGAGGCTACAGAGCTAAGACAACATAAGCTACCACAGGGACCAGGCCTCAGAGAGGCAGTCTGAAAGGAAGAGATTAGAGAGGGACAGAAACTACAGGGCCAGTCCACTTCCAGATTCCTTCAGACCAAAGAAGCACCAAGAGTGGGGCCATTTACGACTCTTCTCAGTAGAGAGGCTACTAGACTCTCGGTGTTGTCCAGAGGGCCCAAGCTAGTTTCACAGACTATGTTATCTCAAGTAACAAGGGAAGGTCTTCTTGTCCAGAGCAGGTCTACCTCTATAGTCAAGAGATGTTATTCGTCCTTTATGGGCAGGGTCCTGTTCTCATGAGAGGAGCTTCTCACATCTTTATTATGTATTCCCATTCCCCACCTTGGTTCAGCCTGGCTCTGTGGATTATTGTGTATATATGCCCCAATTATTTGGGGGCTGCAAATGACATAATGTGCTACAAGGTGTGGTTCATGGACCAGTGCCAGCCTGAGAACTGTTTGTTACTGGTTCACTATGAGGTAGGTACAGAAATTGAGAGTATGCATATAGAATCATATATAGCAATTTGCTGAGGCATCCCAGCACATGATCAGGGTTTATATTTTGCATGTCTTTGTTATTTCATTTTTGTTACATTTTTTAAAAGGTACCAAGCTATGATGACTAGAAATACACATTTTCTAAAAAAACAAAACACTAGTATTTTACTACAGTTTGTGCCAACACTGCCCAGTTAAAATTCAACAACCAGCACTGGAACTGTGACCATTGCAGTTTTCCCTTTGCCATTCTAAAGAAAACCTGAGTCTGCTCCTTTGGTCATCAAACCTCTCTTTGCTTCTTTGTGTGACAGGTGCAAACATAGATGAGTTCTGAAAGAACACAGGTAGTGGACACCGCCTGAGAGAGTTCATGCTGCACATGCATGGTGTTTCAATTCTTCCCAGGCAGGACCACACAGAATTGTGTCCAGAGAAAGAAGGAATCTTGCCACAGAGTCTATTAGAAAAAACTCCTGTGGAAATTGCAATATCTAGTCACTGTGGCCTCACAGGACTCCCGGACACCTGACTCCTGGCTAAGAAAATATTGACAGGTACTGAGTCATTCTATTGAAGTTCCATTCCTCTAAAAGGACAAGCCCCAAAATACACTTAACACACCCAGTTCCCAAAGGTTAAAGTATAGGTAAGAAACACTGCAGGAACCGGATATGAGTAGTGGTTTCTAACATAGGAAGAGGGAGTATACAACAGCCCCTTCCACAGTTCCGGATGATTATCACCTGTGTTAACGTAATGAGTGAAGCATACTAGATACAGCTGACATTTTTATCCTTGCCTTCTCGACCACATCTCATCTATGTTATAATAACATAATTACAAACCCATTGGAAATTGCCAATTTTCTTTCCTCCTGTGAAATGCTAAGTGGTTTCCACATCTCATTTCATTTAATCTCATAATATCCTGGTGAGGCAGCTCTGCTCTGATTTAGAGATGAAACCAGGAAGACTCATCTAAGGTCACAAAGGAATGCAGAAGGGGATCCCTGGGTGGCGCAGCGGTTTAGCGCCTGCCTTTGGCCCAGGGCGTGATCCTGGAGACCCGGGATCGAGTCCCACATCGGGCTCCCGGTGCATGGAGCCTGCTTCTCCCTCTGCCTGTGTCTCTGCCTCTCTCTCTCTCTCTCTCTGTGTGACTATCATAAATAAATAAAAATTAAAAAAAAAGGTTTAAAAAAAATAAAAAAACAAAGGAATGCAGAAAATAGTGGTGACATGAATTGTGGAAGCTGTATTAGTAGCATCAAACTGAGAAACAGGGGAGAAATACCCATCAGCCTACATGGTGTCATAAAGAAAATTAGCTGGGCTATGAAGGCAGGGGTGTCTCTATCCCCCGGACCCTTTGGGATGAAATGAGTTCCTGGGAGGACAGAAAGTCTGACCCAGGTAAAACTGCCATGTTGGTCTTCTGACACCCCAAAATCTCCTTTCCCCTTCTGTGGGACTTGTACCCACCCCTAGTCAGTGTTCTAGTGTCTCTGTCCCCTATCAAACTGGCTCTTAGGAGGTGTTGTCAGCAACTTGATGATGATTCTAAATGATTGTGTTTTCACTCCTGAAGTTTCTAATACTTCAGGTCTCATCTTTCCCTATGGAAGGAAATCCTTTATCTCATTAGGGAGATTGCTGGTAAATGGGGAGTTACCAAAGGGAAGCGGTAGGGGTATGTTATTACTCTATATGTGAGGGCCCATACTTCCATTCACTAAATGCCTACTATGTGCTATGGACCATGGTAAGAATTCTGTATGTACTAGCTAATTAAGTTCTCAATAATCCTGTTGGCAAATCATTATTATTCCATTTTACAGTTGAGGAACCAAAGGCCCAAGAAGTTAGTCCCTTCTAGTGCAAGGTCACAAAATCAACTAGTGGCTACTTATTGTCTAACTTCCAGCCAACATGGCTTCTACAGAAGTAACAGAAAATTATAAATCATCCCAGAGGGAAAACAGTCCAGTCTACTACCCAGGGAAATAGATAATGGGTATTTCAGTAGAATCAGTATTCCGTTGTCTGTGTGATATAACTTGCCTCATATTTGGTTCTGAAATGCCTATTGATGCCTATATTACAGACCCTCTCCCTCACCTGTAATCTATATTGGAAACAACCCTGATCCCCATGTGCCTCAGGCTTGGAACCTGACTTGGTAATTGTACGATCAGCAAATCTGTCGACTTCAGCCCTGTTGGAGACTCTGAATTGAACCATCTTCACCAAGGAGCTATAGATAAAATACAACTGCTTTTTCATCAAAGGGTAACAACTACACCTCCAAGGGATGAACATCTGGGAAGATCCTTAAATACCTAAAAGCAAATTATCAAAACATTTGTAGCAACGTAGCTCCATAATCAGGTACTTCTTAAAAAGGATGCACAAATGTACACTTTGGCCAGATGGTAACAGATATGGAAAATACCAAGAATATCAAGACTTAAATATGGAGGACAACCTGCATCCTGAAGCGGCATTTATTAAGCACCTACTATGTGTCAGGTATTCTACATATGTTATCACTAATTCTCACTACAGCCTTTCCTGGTATATACTATCATTCTTATCTATGATTAAGAAAAGAGACTCAGGTCAAATGACTTGCCCATCATCAAAAGGCTAATAAATGGCATATTAAGGACTTGAATTCATGTCTCGTTTCCATGCCTGAGCTTGTTCTATTACACCAGGTTATTACAATTTGATCATAATTCACCTCTTCTCTCTCTCTCTATTCACTTCTTCTCTGAAGTGACTGTATTTATTTTGAAGTACCTCTTCATTCTACTCTAAGGTGAAATCATTAATACAAATAAAAATCAGCTATTGTTGGTGCTGGAAGAAATCACTACTTAACATTTTAATTTTACTTAACATTCAGACTTATTAGAAATTCTGGAAGCTGGGAAAGAGTATTGCTCAGGCTTTATCCACATCAGGGCCCAGAATTCTCTCATACATACTTCACAGAGCCTGTGAGAAGAGTTTGGTCTTTGTGCTCATAGCACCCCAAGCCATGAATCCCACATGCAGTGACTGTCCTCATGAGCTCTGTCTTACCTTGGGCTTGCTGGGGCTCCATCTTCTGGCTCTTCTACAGCACCAGTTAGCTCTGGGGGAAGGAAAGTATCTTTGTTGACATTATTCACCCAGCTTTCCTTTGCCTCAGTTGCTCTGTCCTTACTCTGTTCAGCTGAAAAGGAAACCATAAATACAGGAAAGTTATCTCTCACCTCCATACCTACAACTTTCCTAGCAGCTCTTGTCACTGAAGCTCAGACCTGAACTTCAGGCCTTCCTAGAGTGCCAAGGCAATCACTCAAGAGTCTGAGTCCCCAGAATCAGAATTATGTCTGCAAAAGAAGTCAATAGATTCCTGTGATGTTAGCTTATCCCAAGCAGACTCTCCCAAGTATGAGCATACCTTTAAATGGGCAGGTAACTCCAGAGACCACTCCAGCAAGATTCTGACCACCTCTAGGTGAATTTGACCTGAATTGGGGTCAGGACAAAATATGTATGGCCGGGGGATGCTCAGGGCAGCTAGTCCTCATTGGGATAGAGATGCTATCACTACCAAGCACTTACTGAACATCAGCAATGTGCCTGACTTAAGTCTGGGCTCTGGGATCAAAAGGGGAACAAATGCTTCTAGTCTGGAGTGTTCCTCTCCACTGCCTCTTCCAGTCTTCTACACACTCAAGTCCTACACATACTCCTCAATATCCAACTCAGATGCCAAGGTCCCCCATAAAACCTCTGGTGCTCCCTCTTCAGGAAATAATTTCTTTTTGCCTCTGCACACCCGGGACTCTTTACCAGCATCTCTCAAGTAATTAGCATTAACTAATTATGCTAAGTGTCAGATGCAGTATTGTTGGGTTTTGTTTTGTTTTGTTTTGTTTTGATGCATGCATGCATTACCTTGTGAGGAAGGAGCTATTTTCCAAGTTTACGGATTTGGAAATTGAGGACCAAAAAGCTCAGGAAACTTGCCTTGGACCACAGTGCCAGTAAGTGCTTGGAATGCTTATACATGGGTGTTAAGATGAAGCAATACAAGAGCTCCCGGTTTCCAAATAGTCACATTCCAGGGTGGTATTCACCATAGGTCTCTTCACACATAAGCCTAGTTTTGTCAATTGCAAAATAGAATCCACAGTACTGACTTGTACCTCCCAAGACTTCTGACGGCGTGGATGGTTTTAAAAACCAAGAGGGGGATCCCTGGGTGGCGCAGCGGTTTAGCGCCTGCCTTTGGCCCAGGGCGTGATCCTGGAGACCCGGGATCGAATCCCACATCGTGCTCCCGGTGCATGGAGCCTGCTTCTCCCTCTGCCTGTGTCTCTGCCTCTCTCTCTCTCTCTCTCTCTCTCTCTCTCTGTGACTATCATAAATAAATAAAAATAAAAAATAAAATAAAAAAATAAAAACCAAGAGGGATACAAGTAATGCATGGCACATACTAAACAACAGGCCCTTCTTTACAAGGAGTATGGCTCTGAGTCAGAAAGAATGAAATCCCAGCTCTACCATTTGCCAATGATATAACCTGGACAAGTAACTTCACTTCTCTGAACTTGATATGTCCCATATCTAGAATGGGTATAAGAATAACCTACCTTAAGAGATTGCTGCTATGGTTAGAAATAATAGAGAGCAAATGCTTATCACATATTAAATGTTCAGGAGGGGACAGTTATTTTCCTTATAGGCTAGAGCTAGACAGGGGCTGTCCTCAGGGGTCAGAGTTTACACTGCCTAGCTCAGAGTCAGGAAGAAGGCACACCATACATATTTAATAAACCAAACATAATTCTAAGAAGCCCTCAAAATACTGTCTTTACAGTCCCTTAAATGATATACTTGGTTGATTAAGAAGCAGCAGATGTCAAAATTGTTGAAAGGGAAGCTAATCTCTTCCTGTCATCCTACTCAGAGGAAATGGTTCTGAATCTTCAGAGTTAGAAGCCAAAGGAATGAAGGTGGTAAGCACCTTATAAGCCCCAGTTGTTTATACTACTACGACTCAACGCAGTAACACTGTATCTAAAGGATTTCCTATGTTTTTCTACATAACCCTGTGTCCCTTAGCCCTGCTTTCATCCATCTGAATCCAGGGAAGAATATTTTTAGCTGGAGGACTACATACTATGCAAAGTGCAGCTCTAAATGCCTTCCCTCAGCAGACTCCAGTAATAATTCTAACACCCTTCCCATCTCCTGACAACACCTGCCCAAACAAATGCCAGCTCAAAATGTTTTAGCTAGAGCAACTCACCTGCCACCTGAAGCTTCTTCTTTCTCATGGATGCTCTGATGATATCTGCACCATGAATTCTGTCTCTGTGTCTTTTTGCCTTGGCTTCATAAAACCATTGGCCACTCATATTCTTCAGCTGTTGGTCATCCTTAATTTTTTCAGGCAAATGTCTACAAAACAAAAAGAACTTTACTTTGCTAAGAACCCATGGTAAATAAATGAGTTCACCGTGACAGTGGATAAAGAAATCTGTAAACATACAAATAAAGCTCTCAGTATTTTAGAAGACCCCACAAACCTCCTAGATGACCAAGAAATTCATATTCCTCTTTGACTGAAAAGTCAGGAAAGACAAGGCTAACATTTTTTAAAAATCAAAGACTTCATCTATGACCTCTACATGATGCCTGGCATTTCTTAAGAGCAGATTCACTTTTTGGCTGCAGTCTTCTGTGTCCACTGTTCAAATGTAAATACCCAAGGGAAAGATGGTTTATTAAGTGTCTCTAAACCCTGCTCCCTTTATCTGTAAAAACAGGTTCATCATGGTAATCTACTTCATGAGATTGCTTTGAGGATTAAATCAGCTAATGCATGTAAAACTACCCTTTGCAAATGCCTGGCACCTAATACCCAATGAATAACTGGTGGAGGAGTTATCAGCTGATTAATCCTTTCCATTTGGCAAAATGAATTTATCAGAGACTTTCGGGTTAGTGCATGATGTCCCTGGTTCTTAATGCCAGAGAAATGAATACTGAAAAAGTGGGCTGTAGGCAGGCAAGATCAAATTTATGGAAGTAGGGGGGTGGGGAGTAAAGACAGAGGCAAATTCTGATTGTGTAGATACTGCTTTCAAGGCCTCCACAATCATTCATGCTCATTGAAAAGCTGGTACCTGTAGAACAAAATAAATATGGCCCTAAGATCTCCCTAACATACACTTGCTTAAAAAAACACTGTTCTACCTGACAAGTGTTGTTTTTTTTCTTATCATAAGTGTTTAATCCACATCCCCTCTTTTCCGATCCTTTCCACATCGCTACTGGTAACCATCAGTTTGTTCTCTACAGTCAAGAGTCTGTTTCTTGGTTTCTCTCTCTTTTTTTGGTTCATTTGTTTTCTTTGTAAATTCCACATGTGAGTGAGATAATATGGTATTTTTCTTTCTTTGACTTATTTCTCTTAGCATTATTCTCTCTAGTTCTATATATGTTATTGCAATGTTATTGCAAATGGCAAGGTTTAACTTTTTAAAGACTGAATAATAATAATCCATTGTATACATACACTACTTCTTCTGTATCCATTCATCTATCAGTGGACACCTGGGCTGCTTCCATAGCTTGGCTATTGTAAATAATGCAAACATAGGGGTGCATGTGTTCCTTTGATTTAGTGTTTTGTACTTTTGGGGTAAATACTTAGTAATGCAATTACTAGGTCGTGGGGTAGTTCTATTTTTAATTTTTTGAGGAACCTACACACTGTCTTCCACAGTGGCTGTACCAGTTGCCTTCCCACCAACAGCACAAAAGGATTCCTTTTTTCTCCATATCTTCAACAATACTTGATGTTTCCTGCGTTTCAATTTTCACCATCCTGACAGGTATGATGTGATATTTCATTGTGGTTTTGATTTCATTTCCCTAATGATGAGTGATGTTGAACATCTCATGTGTTTGTTGCCCACCTCTATGTCTTCTTCAGAGACATGTCTGTTCATGTGTTCTGCCCATTTTTTATTTGGATTGTCTTTTGGGTATTGAGTTGTACCAGTTCTTTACATATTTTGGATATTAATTCCTTATGTCATTTGCAAATATCTTCTCTCATTTTGTAGGATGCCTTTTAGTTTCACTCTTTTCTTCACTGTGCAAAAAAAAATTTATGTAGTTTCAATAGTTTATTTTTGCTTTTATTTCTTTTGCCTCAGGAGACCTATCTAAAAAAATGTTGCTATGGCCAATGAGAGATATTACTCCCTGTCCTCTCTCCAAAGGTCTCACAATTAGGCCCTTTAATCCATTTTGAGTTATTTTTGTGTATGGTGTAAGAAAGTGGTCTAGTTTTCCCAACACTATTTGCTGAAAAGTCGGTCTTTTCTTCCCCATTGGATATTCATTCTTCTTTTGTTGAAGGTTAATTGACCATATAACTGTGGATTTGGTTTTAGATTTCTGTTCTAGTCTATTGATCGATTTTTATGACAGTATCCTACTATTTAAATTACTACTTCTTTGTAATATAACTCAAAATCTGGAATTGTGATACCTCCAGTTCTTTCTTTTTCAGGATTGCTTTGGCTAGTTGAGGTCTTTTGTGGTTCCATAGAAATTTTAGGATTGTTTGTTCTAGCTTTGTGAAAAATGCTGTTGTATTTTGATAGGGATTGCATTAAATAGATGCTTTGAGTAGCAAAGATTTTTTAACAATCTTTATTCTTCCAATCCATGAACATAGAATATCTTTCCATTTCTTTGAATTGTCTTGAATTTCTTTTATCAGTGTTTTATAGTTTTCAGAATACAGTTCTTTCACTTGTTTGGTTAAGTTTACTCCTAGATATTTTATTGTTTTTGGTGCAATTGTAAATGGGATTATTTTCTTCATTTCTCTTTCTGCTGCTTCATTATTAGTGTACAGGAATGCAACAGATTTCTGTACATTGACTTTGTATCCGTGATTTTACTGAATTCGTTTATCAATTTTAGCAGTTTTGTATATACAGCATCATGTCATTTGCAAATAGTTTTACTTCTTCCTTACCAATGCGGATGCCTTTATGTTGTCTAATTGCTGTGGTTAGGATTTTCAGTACTATGTTAAAATAACAGCACTGAGAATGGACACGCTTGTCTTGTTCCTGACCTTAGGGAAAAAATTCTGTTTTTCACCACTGAATATTTTTCATATAAAACCTTTATTATGTTGAGATATGTTCACTCTGGACCTACATTACAGAATGCTTTATCATGAATGGGTGTTATACTTTGTCGAATGCTTTTTCTGCATATATTGAAATCTTTATATGGGTTTTGCCCCTTCTCTTATTGATGTGACATATCATGGTGATTATTTTGTGAAAAGTGAACCACCCTTGCATTCCAGGAGAGATGAGAGAGAGAGAAAGAGAGAGCACGCACGTGCAAAAGTGGGGGAAGGGGCAGAGGGAGCTGGAAAGGAGAAGCAAACCCCCACTGAGCAGGGAGCCCAACTCAGGGCTAGATCCCAGGCCCTTGAGATCATGACCTGAGCTGAATAAATGCATATGCTTAACTGATGAGCCACCCAGTCACACATTTTTGTGGTGTTCTTATCTGGTTTTGGTATGAGGGTGATACTGGCCTCATAGAATGAATTTGGAAGTTTCCCTTCCTCTTATATCTTTTGGAATAGTTTGAAGAGAATAGTCACTAACTCTTCCTTTAAATGTTTGGTAGAATTCACATGTGAAGCTATCTGGTCCTGGACTTTTCTTTGTTGGGAGTTTATTACTAATTCAACTTCATTGCTGGTAACTGGTCTATTCAAATTTTCTATTTCTTCCTGCTTTAGTCTTGGTAGGTTACATGTTTCCAGGAACTTATCCATTTCTTCTAAGTTGTCCAATTTGTTAGCATATACATTTTCATAATATTCTTTTCTTTTTTCTTTTTTTCTTTTTTTTAGAGAGAGAGAATGAACAAGTAGAGGGCAGGGGGAGAGAGAGAGAGAAAAAAAAATCTTAAGCAGGCTCCATGTCCAGCATGGAGACTGACAGCGGGCTCAATCTCATAACTCTGAGATCATGACCTGAGCTGAAATCAAGAGTCAGATGCTTAACTGACTGAGCCACCCAGGAACCCTAACCCTAAGTTTTCAAAATATTCTGTTACAATTGTTTATATTTCTGTGGTGTTATTTTTCCTTTTTAATTAGTGATTTTATTTGGGTCTCTTTTTTTTCTTTTGATGAATCTTGCCAGAGGTTTATCAATTTTATCTTTTCAAAGAACTATCTTTTCATTTATCTGTTCTATTGTTTTTTTCATTTCTAGGTCATTTATTTCTGCTCTAATCTTTATTATTTCCTTCCTTTTGCTGAGTTTTACTTGTTCTCTTTCTAGGTCCTTTAGGTGTAGGTTCGAGATTTTTCTTGCTTCTTGAGGTAGACTTGTATTGCTATAAACTTCCCCCTTAGAACTACTTTTGCTGCATCCCAAAGATTTTGGACCATTTTCTTTTATTCCTTTTCATTTGTTTCCATGTAATTTTTTATTTCTTTGATTTCTTGGTTGACTCATTCATTGTTTAGTAGCATGTTATTTAACCTCCATGCATTTGTGCTCTTTCTAGGTTTTTTTTCTTGTGCTTGATTTCTAGTTTCATAGCGTTGTGGTCAGAAAAGATGCATGGTAGGACTTGGATTTTTTTTTTTTTTTGAGACTTTTTCTGTGGCCTAAGATGTGATCTACCCTGGAGAATGTTCCATGTGCACTTGAAAAGAATATGTATTCTACTTTTGTAGGATGGAATGTTCTGAATATATCTGTTAAATCCATCTGGTCCAGTGTGTCACCCAAAGCCATTGTTTCCTTGTTGATTTTCTGTTGGGAACACCTGTCCACCAATGTAGGATATTAAAGACCCCTAGTATATTACTATTGATGAGTCCCTTTATATTTGTTATCAACTGTTTCATATATTTGGGTGCTCCCATGTTGGGTACATAAATATTTAAAATTGTCACATTCTTTTTTTAAGATTTTATTTTTTAAGTGACCTCTATACGCAATGTGGGGCTGGAATTTACAACCTTGAGATCAAGACTTACATGCTCCACTGACTTTAACCAGCCAGGTGCCCCTACTATTGTTATATCTTCTTATTGGATTGTCCCCTTTATTATGATACAGTGTCTTTCCTTGTCTCTTCTTACAGTCCTTAATATTTATATATTGCCATTTTGTTACTGGTTTTGTGGTTGTTTCTATAGATTTTTCTCTGATTTTTTTTTCTCTTGCTCTCTTTCATGGTTTGTTGGCTTTCCTTAGTGATTTACTTGGATTCCTTTCTCTTTATTCTTGCATATCTATTACTGGTATTTGATGTGTGGTTACCATTAAGTTTGCATATACATCTTTTGCATATAGCAGAGAATATTAAGTTGATAGTTACTTAAGCTTAAA